GGGGGATAGTTTTGGTTTTATTTGGCAAGTTATCCCACAAAATCAGCCTTAACTGTAAATATATTATTGCTCTTAAAATTAATTTTTCGTATAATTGCAATACAAATGACATGAATTAGTAATTTTGCTAAATTTAATTATTGAAGTGTAAAATTGTAAATAAATATATCTGGAGTCGTGTACCATATAATTTTCTCATTTTAATACTCCAAATTGCACTCTGTTCGACCGGTTAAATCGAGAACCGGCCAATACACCGGTCCAAATTAAGGTATAGGTCCAGTCTGGTTTTCAGATTATTGGTATTAACAAGAGTTGTAAAGGTACTATACTCTATGTTGCACTTGTCCTTGAAGTATTTGTTCCCAATTGATCATAAGTGAAGTTAAACTACAACTAATTCACCTAAGCAGCTTGTCCCCTGTCCGGATTGTCCATTCCCCACTTGAGCTTCCTTTCTACTCAACTGAATCCACGACAGAGCTTCTTTCGAACTCGGACAAACAAACTGAGAAGCATCGACTTTTCTTTTTAATAAAAGACGGCTCAAAAAGTTAAGCCAAAAGATAACCAAGACATTTACATGATTATTCACCTCTAATACCGAAAAAATTTATGTAGAACATAATTTAATTTATACATAATATGAAATCGGCTTATGTCCGGTTGCTTCTGTAACTGAATCTCTAATTGAATCTACTAAAAAACATGCTTCACTAGTTTTATTTATTTACTAAAATCTGTACAATATCATAGTCAGATAACTCAGAAATATAATAGAGGAACAATGCAATGTGAATTTGCAGGTAATGTGACGAAATCATTAAAAAGAAAGGATTTTACCGTTAAGTACTCTGTCTCTTTAGTATACAGAACCAGAAAAACCAAGGTAGCTCCAAATTGTCTTGTGCACTATTATTTTATTCTATAACACCAATGCCACTTAGGTGACCACAAGCCCAAAGGTACAAAGGAAAACCTTATCACACATTGGTGTTCGAAATCCAGTGGATTTCGGCAATCATCGTCCATCCATCCAACCATCACACATTTCGCACCATCTTTAACAACATGCCTCCGTTACTCGGTTGCCAGGTAGGTCAGTGTACAACACATAGTACAGTAAATTCCCCAGATATTGTAATTAAAAAAAAATAAAAAATAAAGAAGAAGAAGAAGAAACAATAGTAAAATCAACATAAATAACCTCAGCCATTGCAACACCAGAATGTGAAGTGCTCCTCCTTGCGGTTATTGCTGACGAGTCCCCCACACTGCAGGCACACAAAGCTGCTCCCGTCCGAGAAGGCATCGAGCACAACCTGTTTTCTCCCTGTCTCCGCAAGAATCGATGTTCCCTGTGGGTCCGGCTCCGCCAGCCTGCCATTCTCCATATTATTATTATTGTTGTTATTAGGTTGCTGTAAAGGCATGGCCTCTGCTATTGCGCATTCAGCAAAAAGTGAAGCTAGTTCATCGGCTGCTGCACTGGCTTGTACTTTATTTATGTACATCTCACGAGCACGGTTTAGAGCTTCAGACACGGCTTGCTCACCACCTTGCATTTTCATAGCCATCACCACCTTCAAAAACAACAGATATCTCATAGTTTTGGCTCTGGGCCTCGACCAATACACATATCAAACGCAGAAAAAATATAAACCACAACAGTCTCGTTTGTAAAGCACATTTTTTGAAAAATAAAGTCACAATATATTTGACTTAATCTTTTATCTTGTCTAGACAGGGGAGTCAAGTAGTAGTGCTTACTATGAATTTGAAGTTATCTGTAGCAAGTGGAAAAATTGTCCACAAAAGACTATCACCTTCTTGAAGTAGGTGGGTGCGTACAGAGTCAGGACCTCAATAGCTACTGAAATTGTATTTAACATTTGACAGTCTTAAAGCACATATTTTTAATCATAGAACTCAATCATAACATAGGTATCACTATTCCAAACCTCACAGGAGGTAAGATTATCATGTTCAAGCAATCTGGTTCAGAGGCCAAGGAGGAGAAGGTATTTAGTATTCCCAGCAGAAGCTAGACAATTTATTCATTTTTTTTTTTTTTCCAAGTTTTTCATGTTACATTTGAAATATCCAGGAATTGTAAAAGCACAGGCTGGGGACATTTCAGGACCCTTAAGTTGATAAATTTGTGAAAGCAAGGCATGCTGACTAACAAATCTTTAAAATCAAATAGATACAGGTCAAGAACAAGGCATTCCATGAGCTGAGAAAGATATTTTCCGATACATCAAGATTGAGACTGCTGGAAGAAGAGATTCTCTATAGAAGCACCACAAATCAGATTAACAGATCATAAAAGATAGAGAAGGAAAATAATTCCACCATTTGATTTGTGTTCTCCTGAAGTAACATAATGTCCAGATCATGAAGCCCAAATCACAGACTTTACCTCTTTTAATCTTCATGTAGTCATGAATACAAAACCAAGAAGTAAGTTGTTGTAGTGCATGGATACAAAGTAAATACATAAATAACTTAATTGTATGTCAACTTCAACATTTGGTGAAATGAATAAATCCAACCATATTATGTAATTAAACAATCGACATGACTGTAGAATATTCTGTAAATAAAGTATGAGCAGAGGGCCAAGCCGTTCTCAGATTTTTTCTTTCTGCGAGCTTCTAGGGAAGTTCGATGATAACATGGACTGACAACACTTAGCTCAGTCTAATTCATTCCAATGTACTTCCATCATACAATCTTTAATAATTCTGCACAATTATTAGGCTTCACATCCAAATAATAAATGGATGCATGTTTCGATAATTGATCATCCAAACACATCTACCAGTAAATTAATGCTCAATTTGCCTTAAAAACTGGAACTTTCAGGACTTGTATGTGGCACAGAGTAAGATAAACTTGCATGAACACAACTTCCATAATTATTAGTATGCCATTGGTAAGTGTTTTCCACGGCAATTACAATCTTAAGATTGGTAATCAAGGCCTGCAACGAAATATTTCGCCAATGCAAGAAGTTCTTGAATTCTTCCTGGACAAATAGTGAACTGTTAGTATTCTAATGGGCCATGAACCGGATGATGTATGATAACATTCATGAACTGACTTAAATTAGGGTAATTTAACGAGAGATCAAGCACCAAATTCTAGTCTAACTATCCTGATTAATCACTCAGCTATCTCAAAAGTGCTTACCCCGTTTCTGTAAATATGCGAGACCTTGATCTATAAATATGCGAAATATTTGTTATTTAGAAGTCAATAAAATTCATGCAAGGATTACCCTATAAGTTATAATTGTCGTTGCCAATAGATAAATAATTAAATATACGATGAACATGCCATCGATATTACATGATTTGAGATTAATGAACACTTCTTTCAAATATATAAGTTGCACTGGCCAGCCTAGACCACGGTAACTTATTCCTTAAAGCACATTTAAGCTTTATTAATGGTTTGCTTTACAAAAAAAAAATGTCTTTACAACAATTTCACAATTATCAGTATGTGTAATTAAGGATCACCACTGAAATCTTAAGCTCATTTTCAAAGTTCGTTCTAGGTTGTGCAATGTCAAAGTGCTGCGGAAGGTAAAGAAACAGGAACATGTGATCCAAGTTTGGCGTGATGATTAAGTTACCAAGCACTATACACCGAACATAAAATAACCACTACTTGAATCCCTTTCATGCTCGGGCAAGTGCCATAGGAAAAAAATTATCACTTTGATCTCTCCAAGATTGATTAATGCATTGGTTATAAGGTAAGACTACTCAATGCATACGCATATATTCAAAACACGTTCACGAAAAAATAATATATGCCAACAACATTGTCAAAACCGACTTGTAAATACCAGATTATAATGTAGAAAAACAATAAACGGAAATGTGTGCGTATATATATATATATATATATAAATGAAATGACACCTCTGTAGTTCAGTAACAGCTGCTGCACCCAAATGGATTCCAGCAAAACCATTACATCTTCAACCATCACGAATGAATAAATTATAAAATTGATACAACACAAATTTGTAGACAATACTATATTCAAATTCAAATTAAAAGACTACAAAAATTACTGATCGCAACAACAATCAAACGCTTCAAGGTAGTAAACCTTTTGGAATTAACGAAATAAATACAATAATAGGGCAAAAAAATCAATTTGAACTCGAGTGGATAAAAAAAATTACCGCCTGGAGTGCCTGGGAAGGCTTTCCTTGATGAACTAGTTGACGAGCCATTGTCAGCAAATTCCTGACGTCGTTGGGGTCAGCACTGGAGACCGCTACGTGCGGCGGTGGAGGTGCAGCCTCCGCCTCCGTCATATCGGCATCTCTACAGTTCATTGTGCTATGGTTCCTACTTTTTTCTCTATTTTTTTCTTTTTGGTTTGTCCTTTTGCACTTCTTCTGGTGCTTGAATTAAACAGAAACCAGATGTTTCCAGCAAGTTCTGTAGCAATTGCTGTTATTTTCTCAACATTTTGTTGGTGACAATATTATTTATTAGTGTATGATTTGGGCTTGTTACGCGACGTTGGGCTCAGCTATACTGGTTGGGCTTCATGCAACTGGGACTGGACGAATCCGATGCTAACTATTGGGGCTATAACTAGCAAAGTCTAATGAGTTTGTTAGAATCGTGTATCGAGTATCAAATTTTGTATCAAAATCGAATTAAAGAACTCGATTTAGATACTATTGGATGCTTGGAAACAAGCTTTTCTTGAGAAATATGATAACAATGCAAAAGATAGTCTGAAAAGTGTACAAAAACGACATAAAAATGACTCTACTAACTACCCAAACACACTTGAAATGAAAAGAAAATCGAAATAAAAACTGCTCCCGCTGCCCCACCTTAGCGCCGCTAAGGGTCATTAGCGGCGCTAACCCCTGAAAAAGCTGCTATTTTCTGCAACTTCATTCTTGCTCAACGAGCCCGGGTTGTACGCGTTCTTTAGCTGACGACCCTTATCCGCATCATTCCCGTCCCCTTCAAGAGAGTCCTTGTCCTCAAGGACAAAATCTGGAAATTGACTCCGCAGATCTCGTAAATTTTCCCAAGTTGATTCTTCTTCCGGAAGTTTGTCCCATTCGATTAAGACTTCCCAACGGAAGCGACCAGCCCTTTTTGTCCTCCGATAATCCTTAGCTCGTATTGGACGTATGATCATTGTGCCTTCAGAATTCACTACCGGCAACCTCAGTTGAACTCCTTGATTTCCTCTCAAACTTCGCTTTAGCTGAGACACATGAACCACCGGATGGATTTGAGCTTCGGCCGGAAGATCAAGTCGATAAGCAACTTCACCCACGCGTTCCAGAATTTTGTATGGGCCATAGAAACGGCTTCCCAACCTGAATAAAGCCTTTTGAGATATTGTATGTTGGCGATAAGGTCTAAGCTTCAAGTAAACCCAATCACCCGGTTCGAACCGTTCCTCTCTTCTTCCTCTATCATAGTACTCCTTCATTCGATTGATAGACCCATACAAGTTTCCTTTGAGCTCCCGAATCATAAGATCCCGTTCCATGAGTTCACGATCCACTTCATCATTCGGTGATTTTCCCATCGGATAACTCACCAGTAGGGATGCCTTCCGTCCACAGACCAACTCGAAAGGAGTGAATTTGGTCGATACATGGTACGTTGTATTATACCAAAATTCAGCCCATGGTTGAAATCCTTCCCATTTTCTCGGAAATTCATGAACATATCATCGAAGATATTGTTCGAGGATGCGATTGGTTACCTCAGTTTGCCCGTCCATTTGAGGATGATATGTTGAGCTCATAGCCAACTCGGTACCCTGCATTTTGAAAAATTCCTTCCAAAAACTACTCATGAATATCCGATCTCTATCCGATACAATGGACTGGGGCTTCCCATGCAACTTCATCACATATTCAATAAATAACTTAGCTATGGATTTAGCCGTATATGGATGAGTAATAGGAATGAAATGTGCATACTTGGTAAGAAGATCCACGACCACCATTGATATGGGATATTATATACTAGACCGGTTCGCAGGACACTCCAAACAGAATAGTATGTGGGTGTGGCCGAGCAGTATCAACAGGTCTACAGAAACTCTAGCACCTGGTCGAGCAGGCACATTCCAGCGAGTATAGGCACGGGACCAATCATCTCTTGTTTCCGGAGCAGATTACACG